TATTTGCTTAGCCTAGTGAGAGCTGGTGGTTCTGCGGATTCTCTGCCCAAAACGCGGACTGTAAACGTGGAGTGACAACCTGGAATGGGTGACTGGCCCATTAAGTAATGTGATAATGGACAACCAGGTCTGGCTATGCACTCAAAGGTGCTATATGTCGAGAGCGGCAACCTAGTGAGGGTTGATCATGCCATGCTCTGACGCGACAACACCACGTCATGCTGTGTAGATAAGAGGAAGCAATAGAGGGTGGCATATTATGGTTCGAGAAAGCTACGCCGCGCCATTTAGTGAGGAGGAAGCAGTCAGCCTCGTTTCAAGAAGCCGCCATGGTTGTGCATATCTAGGATTCATGCAGCTCATGCCATGACGTCGGACAGGAGCATATCCTTCCGATTCTCCATTTGGTACAGAGCGGACAGGGTTCCGTATGTGCAAGTGAAGCTGATTTTTTCGGATTGCGCTTTTGAAAAGAAGAGCAACTAGGCGTGCTCACTGTCACGCCATGAACTCAAAAGCCATATTGAATTCCCAACAATTTCCGGTTCTATGGCATATGACATCTGCATAGGTCATCACCTATGCAGTATGTCATATGCCATAGAATCGGAAATTGTTGGGAATTCAATATGGCTTTTGAGTTCATGGCGTGACAGTGAGCACGCCTAGTTGCTCTTCTTTTCAAAAGCGCAATCCGAAAAAAATCAGCTTCACTTGCACATAAATGAGAAGCGGGTGTGGCCATAAGCCATAGTGGGGACTTACCCCGAAAAAGGAAAGGCAAGAAAGTTAGGCTTTCTCTCTATCGGATCCTTCCGACATCCCTTTCGAAAGGTCCTGTCATGTTGCTTTGCCATGCATGGCTTATCAAAGGTTCTTACAACAAATTCATATCAGTAAATGTTCAGCTGAAAATTGACGACAATGGAAGCATTGCCTCTCGTGGGAACGTTCTGTTGAGCGCACTCAAACAGGATCCAGACCCCGAACTTCCTGTCGGATGTTAAACTCTACCACTATGGCTGCCTATACAACGACTGGAGAGACTTCTTCGACCAGGATTGCTATAAGTGAGCAACCAAGTTTTCAACTGAATGAAAAGAGATGCTTGTGTTAAATGCTGGATGTCCCTCCTTCACGATAACGAAAAATGGCTGTGCAAAAGTTGTAAAGTGTTGCTTCACTGAGCATTCGGCTATCTTCATAGGGGGAGGGAGTGCTAACTTCACATACCCTCATCTGACCTGGGAGGATCCTACGTCGAAGTGACTTATAGCGCTAGACACGTTCTCCCACCTAAGCAAAGCACAGCGTGTGCGACCACAGTCGTGCGGACTGGTCCTGTAAACCGTATCTGACGCGCTGTCGCGTGCCACCCTTCACCTATTTTCACATTGCACCATCAATTGAAGGCCTTCGTTCTACCCAGATCGCCGTTTTCAAAGGTTTTTACTATCAAGTTCCCATCTCCTCTTTTGGTTCAGCTTTGCCCTCTGAGGAATTAGCCTGTTGCGTCGCAACTGCACAATTGTAAATAAATGAGCTTCAACCTTAAGCTTTATCTAAATAGCTCCAGATGTAACGAATAGTTAAGTCCGAGTGGAAGGCTTTGTCTAGAGCATCCACAACACTACATATCGCGCTGACTTTTTTGGGTGGAGGAGCTGGAGGGGGAGGGGGGGGGGAGGGTGGAGTGAGGCCGGAGGGAAGAAGAGTCCTACATAGCCCTGGTGATATGTTCGCTATAGGCCAGCCTTGGGCCTTTTGCGTCTCAACTCAGCTATTTCTGATGTTGGAGCAGTAGCCTTCCCTATCATCATCCCGCTCACGATGGATGTTTATAAGGGGGTGATATTCTAAAAACCTGCTCATTGCGGATGTTGTGCCGTGATTGGGGTCCCCTAACTGGTACATGTAAATCGCATGCAGAAAACGTGAATGAACTTAGTTAGGCTGAAATCCTTTCATGAAAAATGCTTTTTGTGAGGAAATGAGATTCAAATATTTTCAGAAAGATGGTAAAAGATTGCGTGGAT